ACACACACACACACACACACACACACACACACACACACACACACACACACATACACTTCCTTCTACTTCTAGCTACAGATCAATCGCTTTAACTAGCTTTAGGCAAACTTATAGAAAATAAAGACCAACAAACGCCATACGTGGTTTCTCGAAACTACAAACTCTTCAAGTAATCTTCAGTGTGGATTCCGAAACTCAAGAGCAACTCTTATCTGCCCACAGACTTAAATATGTGAAACTTTCATTGAAGGAGGTCATCTGATCTCCTATATCATTCAAACCTCCTAAACAACATACCTGCTGTTCCAGACTCGATGGCCGCGAAAAACAATTAATTAACATTTCCTCCGATTTTGCGCGGATCTGCACCAAATTGAGAGGAATTATGTTTAAGCTTGAAAAGTAGGCATGAAAATTATATTCAAGTTTTGTCCGTCAAAGAAGGTTGCAAAGCACTTTTGCTGAGCAAATAGACGTGTACTATGCCTTGATTTAACATCACATGGGGAAAGGATATGTGTCCAGGGCCACGCTTGTTTTCTTGGGAAAGTTTTAACACAAAAGAAAACTTTCATCTCGCAAATTAAATACCTTCCCGTGATATGACATAAAATGTATAAAGCATTTTTTAAATTTGATCTCATCCAGAAGAGGGCTACTTTTTCCCAGGACTAACTTACAATTACTGTGTCGATGTGCTTCTGTTTACTCAAATAAAGACAGATTGACATGAATTTCTTTGCTCTTCTCGGCGGCACCTCAATTTGTTCATATTATGTTAGGTAAAAAGAAAGATACTGTAGCAATGTTTTAGTGAAGTCTGCTTTCTCCTCGATGTCTAGGTATACAAGATGGTGTTATTTCATCAAATACAAGTTACGTTATTTCATTGGCTTAAGTAATGAGAATTATTTTTGCTCGGCGAAGTGACCCCATGATGATTTTCGTTTTTGGTTGTTTTTTTCATTGCCACTAGCTTAATTTTAGGGTTGTTGGGTTTTTTAAAAATAAGCACTGCTATAAACAGCATGCGTTGCGATGTGCCTTCCACGTAGCTAACATCTTTCCGTGTTTTTCGTTTTGTTTCTGTTTTTGTTTTTCAGGAGGTGGTGCTGCACATGGCTCTAATAGTATTGCTGCTAATGATCATCTTTGTGGCCTTAGAAGGTAAGTTTGCCAGTGTTTTTATCAATGCTTTTCCAGAAGAGCGCACCAATTATATTATTCTAAAAGTGTCCTTTGACAAATGGTACTCACTAAAATAGTCGGATAAACGTGTGGAAAGAGCAGCATCTACCATTTTAAACTTTGACAAACGGAGGGAATAAAATACTCAGCCTTGCCAAATACTAATCGTTTTTCTATTTGCTATGTTTACTATCAACGTACTAAAATGACGCAGTTTTGCTTTGACGTTATTTTTTTTTATCTTAAATATTGCAGCAAATAACCTCACAGACGCAGTGCTGGGTCATTTCCATTTGCTTGCAAACATGTTACGGTCTTCTTCAACCTGCGACGTGGACCACGACACCGTTGATGACCAGAAAGTTCCAGAGTTTTCTGAAACTGCCCCAACTCAAACCGTTATTCCTGGAAGCTTTTCCGAAGACTTGGCTGTGAAGACCGCCAGCAATAAAGAGCTATTCCATTCAAATAAAGCAACTCTTACCTCGTTCTTGAGTCCCTCCTCGCAGCTCTCGATAGATCCAGAAGTTTCAGTCCCAGTTGACGCTTCAACGTTCATTAACGGTATAAAAGACTGCGCTGAAAAGTCTAACGTGCTGTCTGAGCACGACAAAGATACTCCTAAATGCCAGTTGTCTTTGGGCGAGCCGACGAGTGACACGTCATCCGTGGATGTGTCAACGATGACTGATCATGCTGAGAGTGTTGACAATAACGTCGGAACTGTTCTACCCGAAAAATGGTAAGTTAGTGGGTTGTGTGCCGAAAAACATGTCTGATATAGAATACTGTTGTATCTCAAAATTCTTCCCAACAAAGATTAGATGAACACAAATATATGGAACACCACAGAGTGAACTCAATTTGTCCTGAATAATGTTTTGTTGGGACTTTCTCACAAAGGCAGCTTAATTTCTCAGAAAGACATGCTATTTATCGATCAGAGGTCTCATAAAAGATAACGAGAACGTAAATATAATAATTAATAATACATTCCTATCATAATCATTATCTCCTATACAGTGTAGCCGAGGTCATGACTGAGGTCGTGAATTTATCGAGCGAGTCCACCCAGACCGATGATACAATTTTTTCCTGTGACGACGGTGTAGTCTGCGACACGGGATCTCGATTGGTGGAAATTCCACTGAAAGCAGCCAAAGTGGAAACCGCCGATGCCTGTGTGCTGGTAGGTCTGATGTCTGTTTTATCGAATGCCTGCAAACGTATTAACGAAAATATGTCAGCCCAAATCGACACAAATTACATGTATAGGCCTACTGTTTAGGAGGCGGGCGGCTTCAAAAATGTATGTCATAGCCAATCCGGGCTGAATGGCATACAGAATCTAAGCAGAAAGGGGAAAATGATGCTTTGAAATACTTGCACCTCATGGGAATTTAAAATGTGTGGTGTGTCTAGGAGAAAAGCTACTGTCCTAGCCAAATTTTAGATTCAAAGCGTTTGCAGGATGCACAAACAAAGAGAGAAAAGAAAAGGACATTTTGATGTATTGAGCTCCGAAGGAAAAGCTGTATTCTCGTTTTATTAATAATAATAATAATGAAGATCATTTCTATAGCGCCCACTCCCGTGAAAACACAGCTCTAGGCGCTTTACATAAATGCATGTAGGAACAATATTCACGCACGCGACACACACACGCGCACATACACGCTCATGCACACATACACGCTCATGCACACACACAAACACACTCACATACACACACAAAACACACACACACACACACACACACACACACACACACACACACACACACACACTCACGCACACATAACACGCACACATGTGCACACACACATCTACTTGCCTATCGCACGCGCACGCTTACACGTCGTCACGGAATGAGCTCATATATAATAAGATAATATATACAATGCAATTCACAAAATACATAAATGGATACATGGTCATTTACATAACATTGTACTGAACGTGAATCTACTGACATAAAAAGGATGTCATTTAATGTGTCTTTAAAGATTTTTAAAATTTAGACTCAGATGTTGTGTGTCTCAAGGGTTGGGGAAAAGAGTTCCAAACTGATGGAGCAAGGTGGGCAAACGATCTTTCAGCTAATTTTCTACGCCCTTTTCTAGGAACTCTTAAAAGATACTGATTGTCTGATCTTAGTGATCTAGATGGAACTTAAATCTGGATGAGATCACAAAGATATGAGGGAGCTTTGTTATTGACACATTTATGACATAATATTGCAATTTTATATGACATTCTAGCTGACACGGGAAGCCAATGCAACGTTCTTAACATGGGAGTAATGTGGTCCCTCTTCTTTTTCTTTAGTACAAGCCTAGCAGCATGATTTTGGAAACGTTGTAACTTGTGAAGAGAGTTATTTGGTAAGTTAGCGAGTAAAGCATTGCAATAATTGATGCGCGAAAACAAGAAAGATGTCAAGAGCGTTTTCAACGAGTGTTCATTCAAAAACATAGACATATGACCCATTCTACGCAATTCACAAAATAAAACGGTACATAAATAATTGATATGATGTTCCATTGACAATTTTGAATCAAAATACACTCCCAGATTTGTTGCTTTATTGGTAAAATACAGTTTTTCATTTTCAGCACAAATATGATCAATGTCTACGGGGATGTGGCTTTTCTTCGGGTTACATTCTTATCAGAGGGACAGAGGTGCCGTTCATTATTACTTTTAGATAGATATGAAGAACACAGAAAACAATGTCACACTGATAATTTACACAAGCCTATAGCTTGTCCCCTTAGAGTGTTCCTTTAACCACCTCCACATTGCTGACACTGTCCTAGAAACTGTTTTCGGCTCTCAAATAATGCCCAATATCACTGCAGTTTAGTGAAGAACACTTAACAGGAACAGTGGTATGACTAAGAGAGTTATTGCACCCGGGATGCTGAGAGTAAGATTTTAGACAGCGAGTGGTTGCAGGGAGCCACTTCTTTGTCCAGCTTCTTTTCATACAGCCTGTTGTTTCTGCCAGTCTGTCTTGCTTCTTCTTGCACTACATGACCGTTGTTTTGTTTCTGTCAGTCTTTCTTGCTTTTTCCTCGGTTATATATTGTATAACCTTTATTTTGTTGATGGGCTTCCTTAACAGACACAAACAAACGAACATCTCAGAATTTCTTCAAATATAGTACTTTTTACAAAGTAAGAGTCCCAGCATGTAATTCTAAATAAGCCCAAAGACCTATCACGTACAAAGACTATACTTCATTCTTCAGGCTGACATGGATGCCAAAAGGATCTACCAGCAGATTGAAAAGGTGCAACAGAAGCATGATCACTCAATGAAAAGACTAAGAAGAAAATTCTTAGCCATGCGTCGACGCTGTCAGATTGAAGGTGATACAACCGCAAAGCGATGTGATATAGTGTGAGAAATTGTGGACTTTTCTCATAATAAAAGTCTTAGTAGTAATTGGGTTTTAAAAAATACAAAAAATACGAACAAGGACTAAAGTACATGTATTAGTCTTCAATTGTTTAAAATCGATTTTGCTACATAAGTCAATGCCTTAGTAATGTCTAGCGCCCCTCCCCCCCCCCCCCCCTTGTCTTTGTTTTCCTGTTTCCACCACTCTCTTCCGTTTTTCCGTGACTGAGGTGCAGTCCCTTTAATGGTTAAGAGACCGAATAACTCACATGAATATATATGTAAGTGTAAGCAAATTTGTGCTAATTTCTGCTGTGTGTCGTCTCTTCCAACTTTATTTCTTTCTGTCTTCTCTCTTCTTTGCACTGCCCGATACAAAATGCTCCATCTTTGAAATTACTGCTTATATATGTAAATATATATATATATATATATATATATATATATATATATATATATATATATATATATATATATATATATATATATATATGTATATATATATTATCTACTTATCAAAAATCATAAAGATAAGTCTGTACTTATACTGTATAATTTATTGATCTTTGGCACTAAGGCTATATGGTGTGTTCAATCTTAACTAAACTGCAATATCTGTTTCAGTGATCTAGCCAGTTTTTGGGTGATTATACCAGAACATCAATGTACAAAGGTTCAGCATCAAACCGGAATTGTATCCATTTGAGTGCAAAGGCTCTGTACATGCTCACGCCAATTTAATTAATCATACAATTAATGTGTGCCTAATATACCTATGGTTCAGCCATTTTCATTAGATTTCTGATCCACATCAAAGAATTTGACAACGGCAATATAAGCGCACTTTTCAAAAAGAAGATTAATTATCGTGACCTCAAATGATCGTCTGTTTTTTCAATGAGCGTGCCTTTTCCGTACGACAGATATCCCAGGACGGGATATAGTAGAGTTCTTAAGAAAAGAAAATATAGAAATATCGTAAATCAATTATTGGGGAGCCACAACTCATAGATCTACACTGTGTGCAGACTATTTGTTTTATTTCCGTTTACTATTTTCAAAGATGTATTTAATTTGTTGCCGGGGGTATTATAAGAGATGCATCACCTTTATCTCTCTCTCTCTCTCTCTCTCTCTCGAGAGAGAGAGAGAGAGAGAGAGAGAGAGAGAGAGAGAGAGAGAGAGAGAGATGGCTCCCTATGTCCCTTTTCCCACATAACAGACACTTTCTTTTCTCTTTCTCATTCGCTAGCTAAAGACTTGAAAGGCAACACTACAAGAAAGAACGAATTCCTGACGAAGTTACAGCTCACCATACCGAATCTTCAAAAAGAGAAGAGTTTTCTCTTGGCTGAACGTGCCTCGGTGGAGAAGCAGTTTGAAAATGAAAAGAAGAGGAACAGAGAACTAGTGTGTAGGCTTACAAAACTGAACCAATACTTTTACCGACTAGGTGAGATTCTTTTAACATGAGTATAATTCCGTACATGTTACTTTCTATAATAACAAGTAGACATTTTCTTTAAAGTTTTAGTTTAGTTTTAGTAGAGGTTTTACAGCTCTTGCAATTGCATAAGCTCAGAAGATTAGATCTGTTACAAGAGAGTAACAAACATAAAAAAGATGAAGGGGAGAAAAGGACGGTAAATGTTTGATAGGAAAGAAGAAGCAAACCACATCAGAGCACCCTCCAACCACCCACAGACATATGTTTAGGTCATATGAGCAGCGGGACACACCCAATATTAATATTTGCAGTTTGTAGGAAATTTTGAATTTTTGCCCGGGTGGCGGCCGAAGTCTACTCGTATTGATTTTAGACCACCAAGGGATCTTTAACGTGCGCAACTTGCACACGGGCCCTCCAAGATTGTTTGCCCTTGTCCGAGAAGGCTAGGTGTAGATCTTTCCTACCTGAAGATCAGGGGTGTGGCAGAAAGATAGCAGTAAGGAGGAGCCAAGGAGTAGCAGTAGAAAGGCTGCAGAAAGAGTCAGGAGCCCAGAGGAGGGGGCAATGGAGGTGAGGGGGTGGGGGCAGAAAGCAAACGACAGAGCATTGCTGGAAAGCAGGAAAGGAGGGGAAAGGAGACGCTTTTATTTAGAGAAGAAATTTTTTCGGTCGCTACCCGGATTCGAACCCGGGACCTTTGAATGAGAGGCCAACACCTTAACTTCTCGGCCGGTTTAAATAAATAAAGAGTTTCTATTAACATATCACGAGCTTTGTGCTGTCTTGTACCAACTCAATTTTTTTCTGGCGTAAATCACTCTGGGGAAGCACTAGATTCCAATCGCGAATAGTACACAATGATAGTGACAATGGCATTCACCGCAGTAATTTGGGGGTTAAATGGGAGGTTTTTAACAGCCTAGCTAACTGCGACAAAAAAACACTCAAAAATTTGGAAATTGGAGTGAGTACAACATAGTACCCGATCGCGATATGATCAACGCTGACCACACTTTTACCTATACTACCCCTCACTGGACAGGTCAGATGCAGCAGACGCCGCCCCCAGTCCACTGGCGACAGCAGACGCAAGCCCAGCCTCACAACTCTGTCGTCCCGACACTCCGGTGTCCGGCGGAAGGTCAAAGCTCCAACTCACAGGCTCAGCGTTCAGCAGCCACGGACCGACAGCAGCATCTTCAACAGCCGCTGCACCAGCAGAAGACTCACCTTCATGCTTTGGGCACACAGCCACACGTTCAAGGCGCGGGCTCGCTTCCCTCCCCGAATCGACACCAGGCAGGGCAGCATCAACAACAGCAGCAACAGCAGCAACAGCAGCAACAGCAGCAACAGCACCTACTGCATAACCATGCTCTGGTTTTACAGCAGCAGCAGCAGCAGCAGCAGCAACACCACCACCAACACCAAACACAACAGCCACCTCAGTCACTTCTCCAACAACAACGTTTGCCAATTTTTCAATTATTTAACAAGACGTTCAGTCATTCTCAAGACAGTTTGAACCCTCCAATCTATATGCACATAAAACAGCAACAGCAGCAGCAACAACAACATCAACAACAGCAACAGCAACAGCAACCGCAGCAGCAGCTACCACAACAGCAACAGCAGCTGCAGCACCACCCAAAAACTCTTCAACAGCAGCAACAACAACATCAATATCAGCTACAGCAGCTCCAGCTACCACAACGCTCAAATGGACTTAACTCGCTCCAGGCGAACGACTACAACGAGCAAGTGCACACAGGTATGGCAACCAAGACAACTGGCAACGTTGGCAATGGTTCCCCGAGGAACGGATAGAATTCACGAAGGATAGGAGTGTGCTCTTCGAGGTCATGTGCTAGCAGAACAAGCTTAAAGAAGTTTAAAGAAAAGGCAAAAGGGAAGCAATGACTCGGAAACAGAGTTTGTTCCTCTGGACCTTGATCAAAGAGAGAATATGTGACGTTTGGATGAAAATCAGGGAACAAGATGGCCATAAGTAGGCCTATGCTTGACCTCTCCACGATATGTTGTGACTTGTCATTGTTTAGATCGTAAGTGATTTTTTTTTTGGGGGGGGGGGGTGGAGCGGACTCTGCAGTATAAACATAAACATGTATAGAGAAATAAACAGTAAGATTAATAGGAAAGCATGAAGATTGAAGAGAGAAAGAAAGGGGGGAAGAGAGAGAGAGAGAGAGAGAGAGAGAGAGAGACAGAGAGAGAGAGAGAGACAGAGAGAGAGAGAGACAGAGAGAGAGAGAGAGAGAGAGAGAGAGAGAGAGAGAGAGAGAGAGAGAGAGAGAGAGAGAGAGAGAGAGAGAGAGAGATTGGATAGGTGGGATGATTGATTGAGAATGAGATCCAAGATATCAATGACAGGACATCATATTCTTTGAATCCTTCTAAAAAAAAAGTAAAATGTGTACAACAGAGAGCGATTGAAAGGTGTGGGAATGAATAATCCATCACAAAACAGGAGAAAGATCTAAGGCGATACAATGTGTCATCATGTGTAACTTTTTTTTAATGAAAGAGGGGATCTTTTTACTCGGTTTACCAGTTTTTATACGATTTCATATTCTGTTTGTTTACAATGTGTTAAATGCCTAACCAATACAGCCGCACAGCACAAGAGACGATGAAGAAAATAAAGATCTGTCGTGTTTGGTACGTTTATTTAAAGTTACTGACACACAGTGATTTCCTACCCAAGCTGGCCGGCAGCGCAGATGGTGTTTTTATACCACAGTAAAAGACACATTTGAAAGGGATTTACAAATGAGAATTTGCATGGATATGCAAAGGGGAAGAATGGAAAAATTTGATATCGCACCCCGCATTGTATAATGTGTATGCCAATGTCGTGTCCTATTTACACCGTGAGCGAAATACTTTTTGTATTGCTTAATAAATTCTGATTTTTTTTCCTTCTCGAAATGACATTCCTCCAGGTTCACTTATTTTTAAAACGTGTTTCTGGTGGTTCATAAATTGCTTTTTTTTCTCATTTGTCATTCTTGTAGCACTGTGATTACCTTTAAAATGGTAACCTTACGCCTCGTCTTTCGTCCCTCCATCCTCCTCCCCTTTTTTTTCCTTCGATCCCTCCTCTATACTTTTAAAATAAAAATAATATGGTATTTTTATTATTTTAAAAAAAAAACAACTACACACACATTCGCATACACACATAACAGGCCTTAAAGAACTTCCAAACAAGATCAAGATACTAAGGATCAACACCACTACCAACAATTAGATTACCATCGATGAAACACCACTGGAGGAAACGGACTCGTTCACTTACTCGGGTAGTATGTACAAGGATGGAGGAACTAAAGCAGAAATTAAGACAAGAATATTCAAGGCAAGATGCGCTTTCACACAAATAAAAACGTATGGAAGTCAGGAACAAAACCTAAGACACCCTAGTGCAAAAAGTGTACTACTCAATGGATAGGAAACACAAACTTATAAAACAAACTTTTACAAAGCTACTGATATTTGTCAACAGCTGTTTAAGAAAAATGCTAAATATGAACAACAAATGTCCGTCTTTCCTGTCCACTACAAAGTCGGGGGGGGGCGATAGAGAGAGAGAGAGAGAGAGAGAGAGAGAGAGAGAGAGAGAGAGAGAGAGAGAGAGAGAGAGAGAGAGAGAGGAGAGAGAGAGAGAGAGAGAGAGAGAGAGAGAGAGAGAGAGGGAAAGAAAGAAAAAATTTGGGGGGGGGGGGGGGGGGGACGTCAATAAAGCAACTGTTAAGCTCAGCACCTTGCACGCAAAGAAATCGAGTTCAATCCCCGCCTGTGAAAGATAATATTTCATATTATGTCTCTGTCTCTCTTCTGTAAAGCAGTATCCCACATAGCTAACCCCAGGCCTGTCGTGATGGGCTTGGTCAGAGCAGCATGAGTCGGAGCTGCCTGCCTCCTAAAAGTGTCAGGTCTGCTCGTTCCTTCCTCCTCATTAAAAGTAAAAGTATTCGCTGAGCTGAGTTTTGATCGTTTTGACAACTTTAGCACTAGCAGAAACTGTCAAGTTTTAGGAATCTTGTTACTGACATCTTTCTGAGTACATTCATTTAGGACGCTCATTCTGGTTCAACGACACCGCTTGAAGACGCCCTGTTTTGGGGTTCTTTTTATTTCTTCACTGCAGTGTAGACGTATGATACTACGTGTAGTTTGTTTTCACAAACTGGTACATTTCCATTATTGAATTTCTTCTAGTTTATTGGGGAATTTATTAAACATGTATTGTATTTGCAAGTTTTGCAATTGTATGTTCTAAATAATGGAAATCATAGAATAGTATTGCTTTGTTTGAATCTGTCTTGAATGGTCCGTAAGCAACGGAAAGGTCTGAGTACTGAAAGAGTTAAAAAGAAGTATAAAACGTGTATTATTCATATTCATACATCAATTTTTTCAATTTTTTTTTCGAAAAGGCAAACAACTCACTTTCCATGAAATTTACAAATTCGTGTTTCTGATATGTATCACAGTTCGGAATCTGCCATAACATTGCCTTTGGACTCCTGTTGATCGGACATGGGCCAGCTGCGTCTCGAAGGGTTATAAGTGGTCAGACAAATTATGTATCCATTACGTCCCAAAGTGTTGTAAGTGGTCATACATTAATCGCTACCTCAGAATTACAAAGTTCTATCTGCACAGTACCTAGTTTTGAGAAATTTGACGTCGAATATTTTGAGTTTCACATTATGTCAAGCTTTTTTAAATGCAATTCTTTGCAGGCGCTGTTCGAGTGCCGCCCAGAAGTTTTTTAATGTTCTATCACGTAAAACACCCACAGTAATAAAATAAAAGAAACCTGAAACAAACACTAGCTGAATATTACATCAAAACAAGGTCCTCACTAGCGCCATAACTGTCATTTATGTGTCTATAGCGCCGTAAAATATCAACTATGTATCAAACATAATAGGATATTCAACAGTGTAACCTGACCTATAAATCGCTCTTGGGGATAACCCAAGCAATGACGACGCTCGTAGCGGGTTTGGCGGTTCATTAATATTAATAAGACGGCATATCTTAAATGTGCTCCTGCCGAACAGTGCTGAAACATAGCCCACAGTAGGCAATCTAAATATAAACGCGATAGACCGTAGGCTATTCTTAGCCAATATTATGTGAGCCCCGGTGCAATCCAGCTGAGTGCTCAAGTGAATTATGATTGTTTCATTGTCTTTCTTGCCACTATTAAGTGACTCTGTGACCGTGAACCTGAGGGAGGTGAACGTGACCGTCCTATGAGTTGTGCCTTTGAATGGTTTAGTAGTGGAGTGGTGAAAGTTATTACTTGAGTAATCATTTCCAATACAGAATGAACGAAATTGATGTTTAGCTTACAAACAAATTTAGTACTAAAAATCAAAGCGACAAGTAAAAAGAATAAAAATAAAAGCACGAGGTCCTCCCTCACAAACCCAAAGATCTTAAAATGATACTCCGTCTCATTTACTATGCCCTTGACTATCTTCAGCATGCGATGGCTTAATTATTGCACGTCCACTTTTTAGCCCCACGAGCCGCCCCTGATTCTTTTAATATTTTGATAAGGACTCCGAATAACTTTACCGTTTTGATACAGCAGACAGAGCATTTGGTTTCGGACTCCATGTTCTTTGTAACCCAAAACGGCCAGAAATATCAGATAGAACTTTGTAATTCTGAGGTAGCGAAATGGATCCATTACGTTCGAGAGTGTTATAAGTCGTCGGACAAATGTATCTATTACGTATTCTAAGGGTTTTAAGTGGTCAGACGAACATGTCTATTACGTCCCAGAGTGTTGTCAAACTGGCATACATGTATGTCTTGGTATCGGCGACAGTGCAATCCTCTACAGCCAAACCCTTGAGCTTCCTAGGCCACCTCACTGAAAATGCCTTCAGAGCTTGAACGTGACGCTATCATCTTTCTTGTACGAATACTAGGAAAACTCAATACAATGTCCCCTCTTTGTTCTAGACTGAGCGACATATACGTTCCCACCAGTTCTTGCTTCCGTTTGCTCAACAAGGTACGAGAAAGTCCTTGTTGCTTTACGCACAATTGAGGTGGTTCGTACAATTTGTTTAAAGCTGCAACTTCATCTTCTAGTATTCCGTGGAGCCTTAAAATCGCCCGCAGTGATGGTCAGTGTGAGTTGTCAAATGCTATACTAAAACCCATAAAGTCCATTGATGCCAAATTAAAGTTATTGTACTCTCCTAGAATTCTATCTAAGGATGAAAACTTGGCCTTCACACGAGCGATCCCCTCAACCATGGCATCTTCAAACGTACGTGCAAATTAAACTGCAAAGAATTACTGTGATGAACTATTCTATCACACTGATGTTCGCTAGCTGGGCCGAGGCAGCGGCTTGAAGCTTGTCTTCGCCCTCCTTCACGCCATTGTCTATGTCGTCGATGAAAGGGCTTTTGAACACTTTCCATTAGAGGTTGGCTTTGTGGACTCGGCGTCCTCATACTCATAGACATCAGTTCTCACCTAAATGATCTGAACCTACCCTACAGCTACAAGGAAGTGACATACACGTCAGCCGCGGACATGTTAACCTGAGTAAGAGTATTCGAAGTGAAACTGATTTTGTAGAAGAGGCAACTGAGCAAAGGGGACACATACTTTCCTCACCTAGCCCAGTGTAATGCTCCTGCCCTTGTTGGCACTGAAGAATGCGCCAATATTGGGTCTACCACAAGGTATGATGGTAATGGTATAAATCCGTCTCACGTGCAGTCTGACTCCCACGGGTTGAATGTTGTCATCTCTCCTTTTGATTA